TTGCCTTTTCCTCGCCGATTAGCACTTTAACACACTTATATTCATCACAAGGAACTCTATTATCCTCCCATTTTCTCTAAAAATCTTTGAAAAAGCATAAATTTTTAACAGACACAACAAAATTATTAATAGAATGAGGCGTTACTTTGCGGAAATCCATTATAATAAAAAAAATATAAATTTCTTCGCAACCTTCCGCTAAATATATACAATGATGTGTCTTACCTGGATTGAAGAGTAATTGTCTTAGTCTTAGCGGTCAGCCGCCGTAGAGTCTACATTACCTGAGGATGCCTCGTGTAGAGGCGAAACACGTGTCGTATTATCGTCGATGGTGTGTCTTACCTGGAATAGTGGTGTTGGGATTAGTGGTGCTGGGAGTAATGGTGCTGGGACTAGTGGTGACGGAGTTAGCGCATGCAATTGAGGGAAGGCGGGAGGTGCTCTTTAATCCAGGTAAGACACATCATTGTATTTATTTAGCGGAAGGTTGCGAAGAAATTTATATTTTTATTTTTTAAGACACAACAAAAACAAACAAACATTGAAATGTGAAGTGAACACTGAGTTTGACAGTCCAGTGCATTGAGTTATACAACACTAGAGGAGCAAACCACATTACCGCGCGTCGAAAAAAGTGTAACCACTATCCAAACGCGACGACGTAGCTTTGAAACTAATAACAATTTTAAATAAACATATATCTATCTCACTTACACAAGTTGCGAAAACAATATCGTCGCTAAGATTAGATAAAGGTAGACACACAAACATGCAATGGCGGGTTGGTGTGGCTTACTATATGAAATTTTACCTAAAATACGCGATAAAAATGAGTTTCTTAAGCTTCAGTTAATTGTTTTTATATTAAAAAAGTATATTTTATTTTAAAATCTTTATTGCGTCCCCTTAGAAAAAAAGGATACAAAGCTTATCAGATGAATAGAAATATAATGATGAAATAAAACATATTTTTATAAGTATTTTTATTGTACTAATAAATCAAACAATATAAAATAGGTAATAAAATATAATTAATATAAAATTTATATGAGATTATAATTAATATAAAATTATTAATATAAAATAGGTAATAAAATATAGTTAATAAATAATTCATGAATAAACTAAAATAAGAATAATTAATTATTTTATATGAAAGTTAAAACGTAGTTTTTATTATAATTTCCAAAATATTTAAAATCAGAGGTAACAAATTAACTTACTCCATTAATTATATAGTCCCCCATTAATGTAAGATAATCAAAAATGCGGAAAAGTGGCAACATTGAACCTAAATGGCAATATTCGATAATTTTATTTAATTATTTGAGGTTTATTACGTTTATATGAAAACAAAAACTAAAAATTATGTGTTGAAAGTGATTCCGCTTGATTTATTACGTTTTTGTGACCTTAAATAGCATTCTTTCACTAATCATTTACCCATTTTTGTCGCGGTTCAACTCTGTCGGCGTCACATTGAACACTGAAGCTGAACTGACGTCAGCTAGGCATATGGCTGTGGCCATATGTGCAGTGGCAACACTTTGGCGCGGTTATTACTGATCTAGTGTAAGATCTAGTATAACTCAATGGTCCAGTGTATTTCGAATTGAAAGCAAACTGCCAAGTGTTGACGTCACATATTATACATATGCTACGAGGTCAGGAGCGCGCAATATAGATGAAATAGTTTGAAATAGTTTACGAGTTATTTTATTAGTTGATATTATTGATTGAGCATTTTTATAGAGCGAGCCCGGCTTCTGGGCTTCCATAGGGGCTTCGCCACTGAGTGCTTGCTTATTTAGGACAATCTCTTAATTGTTGTATGGAAAGCAGGTATTGGCTAGAGAAAATCGGGAGTAAATTAGGGATTACGTTATAGCGGTCATTTAGTTTTTTATTTACAAATTTTAAAACTTTTTCTTGGTTCGTTTATTGTTCGTTTGTTTGTTTATCTGATTGACCGACTAAATAAATACTTAGTTCATCTTAGTGTCTTTAATTACTCATTATTCAGCTTAGTGTCTTTCTAAGTCTTCGCGACAGTTTTATTTACAAATAAATCATCATCACTAATGGTCTAATTATGAATATGGTACATCGTAATGCCGTGTTGCAGTGAGTTTTACAGCTGCAACAGGAATGGGTTGGCTAAACCGGGGAAGAACCATGCTCACACAGAAGGCCAACGTGAAATACAGAATAATATTTGATATTTTAAGAACCGGAGATCCTTTCTAATGAGATATTCTTATTTCGTGAGGGTGATAAGAGTTTAATCAAGTATTTTGATTCTTCGTCGATGTTTAATGTGTTTAGTACGGTGAGTGTCGAGAATCGATGTCTTATGGGCATTCATTCACCATCAATCGACCTGTGTGCTCGTTCACCACCCTCAATTCCACAAAAAAAGTTTCATTTTTAACGTAGTAATACAAACCTTTTTCTCTTTGCACTGTGAGATACTATAACCGTTTTTTCCTACTTCATCCAATCAAATCCTTTTGTATAAAGTATACTCACATATGAGTACAAAAGCGCAGTGCGGCCGCAACGCAACTGCATCTGATTGACGCAGTGCAATTTGAAACGGTATACTAAGATAGTTTTTAATTTAGTTGAGTGTTCGGCCAAGCGCTTTGTCGTTCCAACGTTTATGACCAAAATAATTTATGCGTAAAGACTTTTACAAACATAAAATTCATGAAAATATAATTTTAACTGCGGTAAGAACAATTTAATAGAGATATTATAAATTTTTATTTATTATAAATATTAATAAATACGATATTTCATAAAATAGAACACATTTAATTTTACTACATTTTTGTTAACATTTTCAATTGTTGACGAATGTGGAGGAAATAATTTTGTAATATAATAGTTAACTAATATTGTGTGATGAGACGATACTTCATTACCAGTAAAGTTTTATTTCGTTACCCATTGTCTTTTAAACTTAAATTATTTCTGAACTGATCTGAAACAATGCTCATACGTCATTAGTACATAAACAATTCCGTTATAGAGATGGGCCTCTCCGGACGTAGGCCGCTCTACACTTCGCTTACCTGTATGAGGCTGCCACTACCTTCTTTCCCAATTGGATAATACTTTTGAATAACTAAATTGATTTTGTTAATCCGTAATTATAACGAAACTTCATGATTTAAGCAATAATAACAATACAAAACTTGTTGAAAACTGTTTTAATTTTAAGTGCTTGTTCACGTTCAACATTTGGGCGCAGGGCGGCAGAGAGCGCGGTAGTTTGGGAGAGCTCGTGTTCACATTGGCCGTCAGGAGTCTGTACGATTATCACATCATGTTGTCAGAGGTTGTAAACATGGACGACGTGCAGAAGCGTTTCTTCCGTTATGGAACAGAATCGACACATCCTTGAGTTGCTTAATCCCAGGATGGACATGTGCTTTTTAAGTCAACAGTGTCCAGTTAGGGCTCTTGCTAGAATGCGCAATTTATTTTTACTTAATCCCAGGGCTTCTGAAGCAAATTTACGATCAAAGCCCGGATCAAGTTTTTAGAATATTTTTAATTATTTTAATATTTTAATGGTGTGTCAGACCAGATCTTAAGTTATTTATTGTGATAAAAGAGTTTCAAGGGTCAATCGGGCTAGGCTTCTTGAGATTCCACAAAATGGCTCAGGTCCAAATTATGTGCACTCTGAGCCCTCCCCTGCAAGTTTGTCGGCAAATTCGTTGCCTACAATACCCGCGTGACCCGGAACCCATCGCAACCCTGTTGTTACATCCCAGGGCGTTTAAACGCTTCACGCAGTCTCCAACTAGCTTCGAGTTCACTAAGTTCGACATCAGCGCTAGCAGTGCTGCTTGACTGTCAAAGTCTATATAAATTATATGTGTTTTTGCAGATTGATTTCCGCACACTGAAGTATGGTGAAAATATCTGCCTGGAAGATAGAGGTGAATCTAACCAAATTCATACTAGGTTTGGATTTGGGGCGTTCCACGTAAATTCCAAAGCCTACGTCGAGGCCCATTTTAGACCCATCGGTATACCATATGAGGCTACCGGCCTCACAGATAACCTGGCCATTCAGCCAGTTTTCTCTGGAGGGTAGTTCCACTATATACTTTTTATCAAAAGTGTGTAGTGGACGCATGATATCTAAGGTTATGCATAAAACCGGTGTTTCCTTAATTGTGTCGAGCATGGATCTCAATCTGTAGAAGAGCAAGCTCAGACCGTCCTGGGCGTTAATCCTATACAAACTAGCCCTCGACTCCTTGTCCAGATATAGATCAAGGGGCGTTAGGCATAGAAGTGCATTAAGAGCCGCTCCAGGTGATGATCGCATAGCTCCAGTTGCCATTAAGCAGGCAATTCTTTGTAAACTATTTAGTCTGCCCGCAGTCGCCTTTAGTTGGCTTTGTTACACCAGACAATAGAGGCGTAGGTGAGCATTGGCCTCACTATGCTGCTGTACAGCCATATGACCATACTGGGACGCAAGCCCCAGTTGTTCCCGACTGAACGACTGCATGTTCCTCTTCCCCTCGGACCGCGTATGCGTTTAGACGTGTGTTTCTGTGCAAGTTTAAATTTTAAAAATAAATTAATTTAAAGAAATAATTTTTGTTACCAAATTCCGTACAAGTACCAGGCACTCATAACGCGTTTAGAAGTTGACGATGCGTCCGAAACTCCGAGAAACGCAGAGCAACGCAACTGCGAAAACTAGAGTTTGTCTACGCTACTACGGGTGGGTGCTTATCTATCTTCTTCATTCATAACTGCAGACATCGCACGTACGTCACTAATCTTTCGCTTGCCATAATTCATAAGCGCTAGCGATTACAGTTAAAATTTTGAGGCTTGGTTTAAGGAAATATATATATATATATATATATATATATATATATATATATATATATATATATATATATAGATAATTAAACTTCTATTTGATTTAAAGATTGAAAACGTTGCTATATATTAATTCCATGATGGATAAATCTGTATCAGATACGGAAATTAACGTTTTGTCCACTAATAACAAGACTCCACCTAATTATGTATTTCAACGAACCAAGAGGACTAGAGAAGAAATGGCTGATTCTGTTAGTAATCAGTTGGCTGATTTCAAAGAAGAAATTATAAAAATTATGACACTATTTATAACAAAACAAGAAAATGAATTTCAACGAATTAACTCAACACTGAAAGAAATCCAGCAGACAAATATTAGTATAGAAAGCACGATTGCCTTTTTAGCTACTCAAAATGAAGAATTTAAAAAAAAATAGATCAGTTAGAGAACCAGATGAAGGAGGATAAGAAGTATATCACAATTTTGGAAAATAAAATTGAGGAAATTCAAATGGGAAACCGGAAAAGTAATATTGAAATAAAAAATGTTCCAAAGAAAACTAATGAAACAAAAGAAGATCTGATTGATATGGTTGTGAGTCTATCACAGAACATTGGTTGTAAGGTTGATAAATTAGATATAAAGGATATATATATAGAGTACGTGGAAAAAATCTGAAAAACTAAATACACCGATTGTTGCAGAAACTGGTTCTACGATCCTTAAGACTGAAATGTTAAAAATGGGTAAAGCTTTTAATATAAAAAACAAAAAGTAAGCTGTGTGCTAAGCATCTGGGCTTCAAAGTACAGGAAGACACACCCATCTTTTTATCAGAACACCTTACTTTGAAAGGATCTTGTCTGCACTTCCTTGCCAGAGACCTGCTTAAGACTAAAGTATACAAATTCTGCTGGACTGCATATGGCAAAGTATACGTAAGAAAAGACGAATCTTCTCCTATTGTCACCATTAGAAGCGAGGAACAGGTACACCAACTTCTGTTAGAAAAATGACTAACCCTTTTGTTAAATTTTTTCTTACCTAATCTAAAATTAATTCCCTTTATTTGTTTTTTGATGTTAAAATTCTGTTTAATTATTTCAAAGGTGCTCCATCACTTTTTATTTTTGTCAAAACTAATTAACTTTGCATATGTTACATACACATCTTGCAGTTACACACACTTTAATAACACTATCATGTATACACTACACACATTAAATACACTATCAAGAAAATACAATGGAAATGATAACTTAGTTCAGCTAAACGACATAAGTATAAATATAACTACACATATAACAGCAATTCAATCTTACATATTTCGTTCAGTATTAGAGAAGACGTCTATAGTAGGTAGAATATTAAATGAGTGAGACCTTACAAAATATAGAAGAAATAGACAATTTAAATATAGCACGTAATATTGAATGTGATACTTTAGAGTTTGCTACTCATTTCAAAAGAAAACAAAATGACCTCACTATTATCTCACAAAATATAAGAAGTATCTATAATAACTTCAATGACTTTTTAATAACTTTATCTAGCTTCGATTTTAAAATAGATGTAATTATTTTAACTGAATGCAGACTAGATAGTAACAAGCCTATCCCACAACTAACTGATTACCACTCCTACTCTGCTACATACAAGCTTAACCAGAATGATGGGGTTACTATTTATGTAAATACTTCATTAATAAAATAAAGTAAAAGAAATAAAACTGGCACAGGCGTCTTGTATTCAAGTAGACATATCAAATAATATATTCTTATGTATCTATCGCTCGCCATCAAATACAAATATAGATAATTTTGTTAGCTTCTCTTAGTGCACATCTTGAAACAATATCAATGCATAAAAATATAATAATAGCTGTGGACATAATAACCAATATTAGACCTAAAAATATGGAGCCTAATATAAGAATAGAATGAGCTATTTTAACATATTGGCAGAATTTGAAATACTTCCGGGACATGTGCTACCTACAAGGAACCTCAACTGTTTGGATCACTTTATGCTCAAAACAGACAGTAAATAGGATCTGCCTTTCATAGCAATATTATATACCACCATTACAGACCATTTTACTACATTCTTATGCTTATCCAAAATTAAATATAATCAATTTTCAAATAAAACTAATCTATACTAGACTACGACGAAGCTCGAAAATATCTACAAGAAAGTAATCTGGCTAAGTTATTAGAATTTTATGACCCTAATGTATTAACTGACCTTCTTTTGCATAATATAGCTAATTCTATAAACAACAATATTATTACTATTGAAATTCCGAAGAGTAAACGTATCATAAAACCTTGGATTACAACTGGTATTCTTAAGTGCATAAATAATAGAACTAAGTTACAAAAGAATTTAAGAAAAGACCCACACAATGAAATTTTAAAAATAACATACTTAAGATATAGAAATTACTGCAATAATTTAATTAAAAAGCTGAAAAGAAGATATGAAAGAGAACAACTTGCTAAATCAGTTTCAAATAATAAGCTACTCTGGAAAAATATAAAAAATATAACAAACTCGAACCAAACGAAAAACCAAAACACAGAATTATTAAATACTAAACCCACCCCTACCGAAGCAGCAAATTTTGTTAATGAGTACTTTGTTAACATTGGTAAACAACTTGCTCAACAAATTAAAGATATTGCCTTGCATGACTCATAACCTTTCTGACACACTGCCTGCACTGGGAAATTCCTTCATGCTCCTTGACACACATCATGATGAAGTGGATAGAATCTTGATGGGCCTAAAATCTAACAGTGCACCAGGTTGGGATATGATTTCAACAAAGTATTTAAAATTTGTAAGATATGAAGTCGTTCCTATTATAACTCACCTTGCCAACCTTTGTTTTAATAAGGGGATATTCCCTACCCTGTTAAAGTAATCTATTATTATTCCGGTACACAAGGGTGGAGATAGGACGGAAGTGAATAATTATAGGCCCATATCCATATTACCTAGCATATCAAAAATTTTGGAAAAGCTTATTAATAATCGTTTAGTAAATTTTTTAAATAAATATAATATTTTGTCTCCTTCCCAATTTGGATTTAGAACGGGTAAATCCACAGAAGATGCTGTAACTTCTCTAAGCTCGCTAATAATTGAAGAAATTGATAATAAAAATAAATGTTTAACGGTGTTTCTTGATATCAAAAAAAGCCTTTGACACCGTCTCTGTCCCTATCCTAGTAAATAAATTGGAAAAGGTTGGTATAAGGGGAGCACCATTAACTCTTTTTAAAAGTTACCTCTCTAATAGGAAGCAGAAAGTAAAGTTGGAACAGTACTTAAGTGAAGATGCAGAAATAACATACGGAGTTCCACAGGGAAGCGTTTTGGGCCCTACATTATTTCTTGTATAATATATCAACGACCTTTGTAGCCTAAAAATAAATAACGCAAAAATCTTCTCCTATGCTGATGATACTGCAGTCGTCTTCTCTGGAAATTCCTGGAAAGCTGTGAAAAATAGTGCCGAAAATGGAATGGTTCAAATAGCTACTTGGTTAAAATATAACTTGCTCTCGCTGAACACAAATAAAACTAACTATATATGTTTCAGTATCTACAATAAAAATCGACCTGATGACAGATTTAGCATAAGGGTTCATGATTGTTGTAACACCCAGGATAGTAACTGCAACTGCCCGATCATTAATAAAGTTACCCATACAAAGTACCTGGGTGTCATGTTGGATCAGAGACTGTCCTGGTACCCACAGCTTGAGCAAGTTGCTGGAAGAGTCAGAAAGTTGATTTGGGTCTTTAGATCATTAAGGCATGTGGTTCCAGGTAATAATAAAAAAAATGGTGACCGGGAAACATCAAGAACAATTCTGAATGAGATATATATCGCCTTGGCTCAATCTGTCTTGGAATATTGCATTACTGTTTGGGTAGGTGCGGCAAAAACTAAGTTTATAGAGGTTGAGAGAGCACAACATGTGCTTATTAAAGTTATGAACTTCAAAAAATATTAGATACCCCACGGAAAGGCTTTATCTCGAGAGTGGGCTACTTTCGGTAAGGAAACTGTATATAAAACGGATCACACTCAATAAACATAAAAATATACCCTACGATGCAAGTAAAAAAGGAAAAAGAAGAAAAAAATAAAGTGGCTTCAGTACCCCAAACTAAAACTAAGTTTGCTAGTACTCAATATAATAGTCGCTCGTCTCAAATTTATAATAAAATCAATAAAGAACTTGATATTTATTCGAAACAATATATCGAATGTAAAAAGGTAGTACAAAATTGGTTAGAGTCACTTAATTATGAGAACACTGAGCTGAATATCATAATCTGAGGAGAAAAAAAACTGTAAATACTCCCTTTTAGTCTTTAAGTTTTTCTTTGTAATGTCATATTTCATAATGTAAATAATATAATATATAGATATTGATATGGAAGAGCGGATTCACCTGGTACAGGCATTATTTGCTTAAAAGGAGAATCCGGCCACTAATGTCTGTAAACCAATTCTATTTGCCGAAATAAATTTTATTATTATTTTTATTATTACGTACCTAAAACAATTTTCGCCTTAAGGCCCCAGTCTTGTAAAAATTAGTGTTCTCGCAAAATTTACAGCAAAACAAATATTTTTTTATAGTATTTAAAAAAGAAAAGTGAAACATATTTTACATTTATTTAAAGTGTAGGATTTGATATTTTCGAAACTGTTTTTTAATTTTATTTTGGTGTTTAAATTAATAGCCCTATTAGTCATTAAACATGCCTATGTTTAGGTTACATGCGTAAAAGGTCTTATTAAAGCCTCTGCTATGTACAAACTATAACAATATCAAGAAAAGTATTCAGATTACATTTATTTACATATTGTCTACAATAATCTGATCTGGTCACTTTTTTATAAATGCTTTAATTTTCTTATTTGAAGGGCTTAAAAAGTTGTAATTTCATGTTTTTTTTACTGCGAATATCTATTTTTTTATTAGAAGTATAAATTTAACAAAGTCCTACTTAAAACCACATGAAATAGAACTATTTTCAAGTGAATTGGAAATAAATAAAATTAAAAAATATATATATATTTTCGTACTTTTACCTACTTGCGATTTATAAACCAGAAACTCCTGAAAATTCTCTCAGTTCCGCTGGGATTTCTCGGCGTTCAGACGTGTACAGTGTTGCTCAACGTTACTTTACCTCTCGCTGGCAAGGTTGATCTCTTTTCCT